ATATTCTTAATTTTTGCAGGTTATACGCGACGAGCATTTCGAGGATGAATGGTACATAGACAGTGGTTGCTCGCATCACATGACAGGAAGAAGGGAAGAGCTGAGGGAGCTTCGGTCCCTTACAAATGGTGGAAGTGTCAAGTATGGTAATAATTCTTTTGGCACAATCAAAGGTTATGGTATGATCACCAATGGTGATTTCTCGATACGAAAAGTGGCATACGTTGAAGGTTTACAACACAACCTTATCAGTGTTTCTCAACTGGTGGTCAGTACCGGGTTAAAAGTTTCGTTCAATGACGATGGCTCGGAGATTATCGAAAAGAAGACAAACAATATTTTGTTGAAATTAAATCGAAAATGAGAGATGTACCCTCTGAATCTCAATCCCATACGCGGGAAACCAGCAGTTTGCTTGCTAACGAAGGATCATTTAGACAAAAGTTGGCTCTGGCACCGAAGAATCTCACATCTCAATTTCAAAGACATCAACAAACTGGTGCTTGGGGATCAAGTTCGAGGTCTTACTGTTCTGAAGTTCAACAAAGAACATTTGTGTGCTGCGTGTGAAATGGGAAAGCAAAGGCGACAGATTCATCCTTCTCGTGTTGATACAAAAATTATTGAACCACTTCAATTACTTCACATTGATTTATGTGGTCCATCTTCAATCGAAAGCATTGGTGGTAACAAGTATATACTTGTAATAGTGGATGATTTCTCTCGATTTATCTGGGTATTCTTTTTGAGACAGAAATCAGAGGCGACTCCAAAGCTTAGACTCTTTATCAAGCAGGTGGAAGTTCAACTACGAAAGACAGTACAAAACATAAGAAATGACAATGGGTTAGACTTAAAGAACAAAGACTTTGAAGATTTTCTTGCAGAGTAGGGGATGACTCACAACTTCTCGGCTCCATATAATCTACAACAGAATGGGATTGTCGAAAGGCGAAACCGATCTTTATGTGAAGCCGCCCGTACCATGCTTAGCTTCGCATCACTACCTCTATATTTCCGGTCGGATGCCATTGTTGCTGCTTGCTACATGTAGAATAGATCTTATCTCAACAAACATATTTCCATCACTCCTTATGAGATCTTGAACAACCGAAAGCCTAATGTAAAGTTTTTCATGTGTTCGGTTCAAGATGTTTCATCTTTAATTCAAAAGAGCATTGAAACAAGTTTGACGTCAAAGCAGATGAAGGAATCTTTCTGGGTTACTTATTAAACTCCAAAGCATATCAGGTCTTGAACAAGCATTCAAAGAAAATTGAAGAGACTTATTATGTCACTTTCGATGATAACTACGTCAAGAAACTGAAGACAACTGAAGGTTCTATGGAGGAAATATTTCCAAAATCTGGTCAAGCTACGATACCAATCTCAACTTCTTTGAGCAATACATGTTGCTGTTTGATGAACCAGAAAAGGCTATTCACTCTGAATCCAAGGCTGCAGACAACAAGGTAGACAACCTGAAGAAGATAATTCATTATGCTGCAAAGAAAATGGCAGATGAACAACCGACAGCAACCGAACAGCCTGAGTCAAGTGAACCTCCAAAAGATAGTTCTTATGATCAAAAGGAGGGGTCTTCTTCTCCAAATAACCACGATTCACGATTCCAGGGGGAGAGTCCATCTTAATCAATATCACCCGAAAGTCAAATCTAGGGGGAGAATTCTGAACTTGAAGCTGAGGAAGTATCATCATTCGATGGGGAGAATGCGAATTGAAACAATGATGATATTCAATCAAAATTCGAAGAAGAAGCGAATACTGAACTGGATCCCACATATGATCCTAATTACCCTCCGCTCACTAAATGGGCTGAAGATCATCCACAAACACAAATTATTGGTGATTCAACAGAAAAAGTTCTCACACGATCACAACTAAAAGCGAAACAAACTACACTATTCTCTAAAGTGGAATTTTGTATGTTCAATTCGTTCGTCTCTAAGGTTGAACCGAAGACAATCAACACTGCACTCGATCATTCTGATTGGGTACAGGCGATGCAAGATGAACTCAATGAGTTTGAGCGAAATAAAGTGTGGAGATTGATTCCAATACCAAAGGATGCTTCTGTGGTTGGACTAAAGTGGGTTTTTTGGAACAAGATGGATAAGGAAGGAAACGTGATTCGCAACAAGGCAAGATTGGTTGTGAAAGGTTACCGTCAAGAAGAAGGCATAGATTACGAAGAGACTTTCAGTCTAGTAGCCAGGCTTGAATCAATTCGTATTTTTCTCGCCTATGCTGCACACAAGAACTTTGAAGTGTACCAAATGGATGTGAAGTGCGCCTACTTAAATGGACAACTAGAAGAGACGGTGTATGTAGAGCAACCACCGGGTTTCGTGAACGAGATGTATCCAGATCACTGCTACATTCTGGACAAGGCAATCTATGGTCTCAATCAAGCACCAAGGGCATGGTACGAAACTCAAACTAGATTTCTTAAAATGTCAAACTTTAAACAATGTTCGGTTGACCCAACCTTCTATCGTAAGAAAGAGGGTGACTACCTTATGATCGTTTAGATTTACGTCGAGGACATCATCTTTGGTTCCACAAATCCTAGCTTAACAACTAAATTTAGGAAGTTGATGTCGACTAAATTTGAAATGAGCTCAATGGGTCCGATTAACTTTTTCCTTGGCTTGAATATTACACAGGGACTCGAAGGCATTTTCATTAATCAAGAAGCTTACACGAAGACCTTGCTTGCCAAGTTTGGAATGTTGGGAGATTCAAAAGTAAAGGTTCCTATGGCGTTTGGCGCAATGTTAACACCTTCTCTGGACAAACCAGTTGCTAACATGACCCTCTATAGTCAGATGATATGGTCCCTAATGTATCTAACAACTAGTCGACCAGACATAATTTTTTCTGTTTGCTATGTGCTAGGTTTCATGCTAATCCATGCGAACCTCACCTGCTAGCTGTGAAGAATATCTTTTGATACCTGAAGCGAACCTCTTCGATCGGTCTATGGTACCTAGCCATGTCAGGGTTCTTTGTCCAAGCATTCTCAGATGATCTTGGAGGATGTGGACTGGACCGAAAGAGTACCACTGGAGGATGCTAATTTCTGGATGGCAAACTTGTTAGCTGGCAGTCAAAGAAACAAACATGTGTCTCTCTCTCCACTGCTGAAGCAGAATATATAGCCGTATCGTCGTGCACATCTCAGGTCATTTGGATTCAAAGTCAACTTCGAGACTACGGCCTGAACATGAAGAAAATTCCACTATATTGTGAGTCAGAGAGTGCAATTAGGATTTGTCATAATCTAGTGCAACACTCCATGACGAAACACATAGCACTAAGGTATCACTTTATCAAGGATCATCTGGAAGATGGTAATGTAGAAATTCATTCCGTAAGAACCACTGATCAATTGGCAGACATCTTTACTAAGGCCTTACCTGAAAGAAGTTTTAATAAAATCATACAAGGCTTAGGAATGATGGAAGCAGAATCTGTACCGAAATCACTTTCGCTTCATTAAAAGTTGGAAGCAAAATAGAGCGAACACTCAGCCCATTTCGGGTTTGGTTCTATTGGGAACCGAAATGAACCGAACGCTCGGTCTATTTCGGGTTCGGTTTTACTGGGCTTGGTTCGCTTCTCATTTTTCAAGTGATGGTTTCAGTTGTATAGTGTGTACACACTCTTTTCTCATAAATTATTTTATGTTTTTCATTTTATTTTTATAAAATCCAAAAAAAAAAAATTTCTTTCTGTTTTTTATTCTTTTTCAAAAAATCTTATAAAATCCAAAAATATTTTTTTCTGTCTGTTTTTAATTCTTTTTCAGAAAATCTTATAAAATTCAAAAATATTTTTCATTTTTGTTTTTATTTCTTTTCATAAAACTCAAACCATAATTCAAAAAAATATATATTTTGTTTATTTTATTTTAAATTATTTCAGCCTTTATCTAATCCATGTATAAGGAACAATCTCAATGATGGAGCTGGCATAGGTATAGTTCTTTATCTTTGTAATTAGCTAAATGTCCCTAAAAGCATATTGTTGTATGTTGACTCAAGCCTCAAAGATTCTGAGTGAAGCCTTAATGACTTCATAAAAACAATCATGTCTTCCCAATTAGGCTGTCAAATTCACTCTAATCATGAGCTTCCATAGTCTTTTCGAAATTGAGTTAAGTGTTTTTCTGCTTGGTTCTATTTTACAGCAGAGGTACGTGCTTTCTTTAACCACCTAAATCTTATTCTCCTTCAATTATTCTTTTCATAATTGTAACCCTTGAGACTCTCAGCACAACCACTGAGGTTTATGGTTACACAACTTCTATGTTAATGATCTTAGTTGCGTGCCACTACGAGCTAAGTGAAACCCAAAATTCAACACATATAATGCATTGACAGTGAACAATTAAATGTTCTTGCTTTCACCTTTGAATTAACGAAACCAGTTTTGTGGAAGTACCTTGAAATCTACTATTATTTTCGAGAGATCCTTATGAAAATGTCTATCACCAAGACTTTTCTTCCCAAAGGATCCAATTTTTATTTTTTAAATTGTGATTTCTAATCACCAATTATCAACAAGACACTGAATATGTTCCAAACCTACTTGTTTAACAGGCCGCATTAGTCTCACAAGTACTTCATTCTATTTCAGTCTTATGTCAAGAAATGAAATCCGAATTGAAGCGAAAGCCACCCTTAATTGCCTTATATATAAAAGATGTCTTTCAATGCTTCTTAACAAGTACTTGATCGTATTTCAACGGGAATCCACACAAGCACTTTGAAGTCTTTCTTGACTTTGAAGGAAGAGATTCGTGCCTGGGATCCACTGATTTGTGTCTTAAATGACGTCACAATATCCCACAAATAGTTTCATTTGGTTCTTTATCTTTGACACTATCTTGCACGCAAATCTTGGATTTTCCAAAAGTCTAGTTCTGTTAATCACAAGCTATTCACAAATATATAGCTTCGATTCCTTATAGTGTAATGCAGTTATCTACAAATGAAGGGATGCATTGGTATAAAGCCTTGGTTAATTATGGCGATAACGATTCTATTGAAAATTCAAGAGATGAGTCAGTAGGAAGCTTAATCGATTGGTACTTTGAAAAGAGGATAAGTATGGAAGGCGCGAGAATTTGAACAGTTACCTAGTCATGTGTCATCACTTGCTTTATCGGGGTTGCTAGTTGTCCAATCACGCCTTTTTAGGCGACATTTCTCAAATTGATGGAATCATTACTCCTGATCTTTCTCTCTCCATCAAATCTTATATAAGGGTTTTGAGTACCGTGATCTTACTCTTTACTAAGCTTCTACTCTCTCAAGCAAAAAGAAGATTTCAGGCAATTTGGTGCCCACTGTTCATCTTCCTCTTCATCAGGCTTCAACAATGGCAGAGTCTTCTTCCGTTTAAGAAACCTTTGCACGCTCCACTCTTCTCGCAATCAAGCGAAAACAGAACTTGATGATCGACCTCACATCTTTCCTCTACGATACTTACATGTATCACGTGGTTGAATGTCTTAAGTATTCGCCAAATCATCAATGATTTATCAACGGTGGAAGTCGTACCAATGGTGTGCCTCTCACAACTCTATTCCACTGCTACCTATGACAAAGGTGAAGACAAGATATAATTTGATATTCTCAACCAGAAGGCCTCCATCTCCAAGAACCGATTTTGCTCGCTTTTAGGGCTCACTAATGATGAATCCATGGTGAATCTTGATTCCATCTCTACAGGTCAGATTTTCTCAATGTTTTACAACATGAGGTATACTGAAACCTTAACTATTGTGACCAAGTTCAAGAAGTCATGCCTTCCTCCTCAATGGAATGGACTGTTCACCCTTCTTTTCAAAGGGCTTTCAGAATGAAGTGCAGGATCAGATGGTGGTAGCAAGTCTTTCATGACTCTGCTTTATGGGTTGTACGATGGTATCAACCTTGATTATGGTATGATTTTATGGCTTCAACTAATCCAATGTCTCTCATCTGCTTCTCGCCACACAAAAATTTATTGTGCCCGCTTTTGGACCATTATCACTCAATCGATAATGGAGCTTTTTCATGTTTCCATCATGCAAATTCACTACTCTCCTCCATTCCTAAATTTCATACCACAAATATCATTGTTATTCATCCCTCAAAGTTTCAGTTCATTAGATCAATTCCAGAGTCAATGTATGCTTGTGTGTCCCCTGAAAGCAAGATTATTTAGGGGTCCAAGGGAACTTACTCCAAAAATGTTAAAGTCTATTGAAGAAGAAGACAAACCTGCTAAGCGAGGTAAGAAGCAAGAAGCGAAAAAGGGAGAAAAAGGAGGTAGAGTATCAAAGGGTCACTCTCCAAAGAAGTGAAAGTTTAAGAAAGCAGCACCTTCCCAGCCCAAGCAGAAGAAGGTCAAGAAAGCTGCTCGAAAGCTTATTCTTGCATCATCAAGCAACTCCGACTTGAGTACGTGCCTACTGGTCATCAACCCATCATTCCAAGCGAATCTGAGAGCGAAAGCTCAGATGATGAAGGTTCAGTTCGTGGTGGCACCCCACCTCATTCACCTACACCAGAGGTATCTGTTCACTCCCAAGGACCCTCTCCTCCACCTGTTTCCATTCCTATTTCCTTTCCTCAAATTTTTCCTATCATATCATCTCATCCTTCCTCCACTATTCCCACTCCTACACCTATACTTTCTGAAGCTACAACCACAACCACCACTGGAGTTCATACCAACGTATCTGATACGAGGGTTCGTACTTCAACACCCGAAATCCCTGTTAATACCAAACCTCCATCACCTACCCAATCAACATAAACCAATACCGTTCTTGGTGGTGAAGATGTCGATATCGACATCTTCTTCTATAGTCCCTATAGAGTGCAAAGTGACGATGATGAAGATGTCCCTGTCACCAAACGCCATCTCAAGGAGCTGAGTGAGAAGCTAGATAAGCTTATGGCCTCCTCCTCTACTCTAGATTCCTCTTCTGGTTCTTCCATAAAAGACTTGATGGCCACTTGGGTTAAAGAACACGAAGCGTCAATCACCAAAGCCACTTCAAGAATTTATGCTTCAACGAAAGTTTGCACAGAAGCGACAGAAAAAGTCGATAGACTAATTTCTAACGCAAATATTTTCCTTGAGTCTTTACAGGGTGTTGCAATGCAAAATGCCAACACAGTCAATGCTTCATTTTAGACCATCACTCAATCTCTTCAACATGAGAAAGAGCTTTTTGAGGTGTTTCGCAAGAACCTCACCTCTGATTACGTTAAACATCAAGCATCTTTCTCTGAACGTTTGGATAAACTTCAAGCAGATCTTGCCTTGGATAGCAGAGTGATGGATGAACTTGCTCTGTAGACCACTCAACTCAAAACCCAAACTATGAAGCTCAATCAAGCGAAGAAGGAGCTTAAAGCACTGCATTCGGAGCGGTCCGTGGTAAAAAGCTCTGTTGGTAATGCTCACTCCATTCTTCTCCATCTTCTTGAAGCCTATGATTCTATTATTACCATTTCGATTAGACGTCATTTAGCTCAGAAGTTACGACATGCACTTGTTATTCTAACTCGGACAGAGGGTGTTACGGATTCCGTTGTCTCTCCGCTACAAGGGGGAGAAGAAACAAAGACTTCATCCTAACCACCAAAACCACAACAACCGAAACCTCATCACCCGAAACCACAACAACCGAAGGTGCTTACTGAACCGAAAGGGAAAGATGCTTCGGGTTCAGGTATGCAGGATAAGGGAAAAGGAATTGTTGATGATACTGATGTGAGGATGATGTTGATGATATTGAAGAAATGGTTCCTCAACCAAGTCCTAACAAAGCCAAGCCCACTACTCAGGAGATTAAAGAAGAAGTTACTGAAGTCATTAATAAGGAGAATGAGAAGAGAGAAGTGAATCTACTTAATCAGAGGAAATTGAAGTTTCCTTTGTGGACGTTGGAAAGGCTTCGAAAGGAGGTTATTGAATCTCCAAGTTCACATTGGCTAGAGACTGTTCTTTCCTTCAATGTCGAGCATTCTAAAGATTCTCAATTTGATATGACAATCACTCGTAAGGCTTCCATCTTTCACTGCTTTGAGCCTACAGTGGCGATTCCTTCTCCTGACCCAAAAGTAGATCAAGACTTGCTTGAATACTATCATGAATTCTCTCAACCTCAATACCTAACCCGGAGTAACAAGAAGAGCACAACTGTCAAGGTGCTAAAACCTACTCCAGCAGGGAAGTTCATTAATATCAAGTTCAAAGTGACCCGAGGATCAGATGGTTCGGTCCATACGGTTTCGCTTTCCGATTTGCCAAATCTGAATCCACATGATTGGATTCTCCTGAACAATATTCTACTCTCCAATTGAGAAGGAATATGAGGCAATTATTGATCACATCAACCATATGCTAGTGTGTTACATTCATGAAGTGGCAAAGATGGATCAGGAGATTGTTGCCGCTATATTCAAGAGGCCCTTAATTAAGCCAATCGGGAAGGCAGAAGACACTAAGATGATGGTGCAGGGAAAAATTGATCAATAGTCTCACACCGTCATGTTTCTTAGAGGCGGAGATCAAAGGTGCTTATTTGCTCTGGCTGACAAACAACTATTCTCACATTCCTGCTTGGAGCACATTCTTGAACTTATCCATGGGTGTGATCAAAACAGTGAGGCAGACATGAAGTTGTTCTCAAATATGCTTTGGTGGTATATAGGTTTCAGACAGACTCTTCTTGCCATTATTCCAAGACTGTTCAAGATTGTGAAGCGAGCTCCTCAACCTCCATCGAAGTGAAGTCTCACCCCAATTGACGAAAAGGGGGAGATTGTTGGGTCCAAAAGTATTGCGTCTTCGGGCTCAGTCCTTAGCCCAGTTTTGTTATCCGGTTTGGTCCTATACAACCGTGTTTATTTTAATAGGGTTTAGTATTTAAGGTGAGTGCATGCATCCTTTGTATTAATTGCTTACATTGATTATTCCAAGTATTGTACGACAAACCCTACCTCGCCTCTACTGTAGAAGTTCTTCATCGATCTCTATCGAGGCATGACTACATTTGAATCATTAAGCATTACTTGATTCTATATCGTGTTTATTGTGTTTGTTTGGTTCTATTGATTACCCTATTGAAGATCTAATCGATCTAAGAGTTTTTCAACTCATCATAGGGTTCACGGTCCGAGGAGTTCACGGTCGTGAACCTTTTGTGGCCCAAAGTGTACACGGTTGTGAGGCTTCTGTCCGAAGGAAAGGAAAATGGTCTCAGGCTTCTAGTTTTTATCTCAAACATATAGCACTTCGAATACAAGATGTAAAAATTTATCAAACATTAATCTACTCCATTCAAGACAGGATAAAATTTAAGTTTACTTTAGTTTACCCAAGTTTGACTTTGTTTGACTAGGGTTGACTTTACATGTAAAAAATAACGGGATGCTACATTATCCGCTCGGTAGAAAGAATTTTGCCTCGAAATTTGGATTAAAGAGATGCATTTAGACTAGGGAAAAAGATGTGGGGACTTCTGTGACAACCCGTAAGTTTCTATCTTTTAAGTCAAACAAATCAATCAAATGTTAGACTTGTATATGTTACCTTTTAGCCTTGCTAAAGGTTATTTTATGAGTTTTTGAGCCTTGTACACTTAGGATTGGATGTTATGAAATGTGAGTAATGAGTCTATGAATTTCAAATTGAACCAAGAACATTCATCAAGGGATGTTCACGCCCCAAACTAGGTTCACGGCCGTGAACCCATGTTTGGCTGTGAACCCCACTTTAGACATGTAGATTTCCTTCACTTTTCTTCATTTCTCACATCTTCATCCAAGAACACTCAAACTCTCTCAAGTATCATCAAGGGAAACCATCCTTTCTCTTTAAAAACGTAAGTGATACATCCTTTTTACTAGTTAATCTTCTTGATCATGCGAATCCTATGAATCACATCCTTGAAAGCATCACTTTTCCTTCAAGATCTTTAACTCTTCATCTTTTCAACAAGAACACACACTTGTTCTTGGGCCGTGAACACCTTCAAGACTTCCAATAAGTAAGTATCTTTTCCATATATTTGTTATCCATTAGAAGCTCTTGAATCCCCATGAAACAAACACCTTTTAAGCATGATTCTTCAAGAGTTCACGGCTGTGAACCCTTCATTGGGACGTGAACCCTTCATAGGATCATAGTGGCAGTGAACCCTTCATAAGATCATGATGTGTCCATTAACACTTCAAGCATTCTTGTTCATGAACACTCCTTGGCCGTGAACACTTCCTTGTGTGGCCGTAAACTCCTTTCATACAATCATCTGTGATTGTCACACTTCATTGCAAGTGTTTCCTAGTAGATAAGGTTGTTCCCTTACATGATTAGTTGTTATATACACTAATTATATACATATATGTGTCATTATATGCTTGATAGGATCCGTTTGTGCTCGAGACTTCACTTGTCATACTTAGCATCCTATATCGATCTTTCATTCGAATCACACACTACAGGTGAGTTCATACCCATACAACTACACTTTTGAATGTTTTTAAATGATTTATGGTGGGGGGGGGGGATACAGGCATAACACAATGATATTGTGTTAATCATTTACTTGTGAAAACTACATTCAAAAGGATTTCTTATACTCAAACTTGTTGAAAACGCTTTTAAAGCTTTTATAAACTTCTTTTATATCAAATCATATTCATCTATCTATTTACGTATAAGTATGCTTAATAGACTTAGGACTATTGCTAGATACCTTGACTCCTGTTCCTTGTTCGGTTGTGGGCTTAGGGTAGGATCACTGGTCCGAATGTCGGTTAAATCATAGTTATACTTATTGAATAGATATGTGAATATTAAACCCATTTTAAAGATTATACTTAACTTCGTTGCTTGTTAAGTAATTGAGTCTTTTCTATACATCAGTAACAGTCAAACAACAGTACTAGTAAACTCTAATAGGTATAGTTTAGAAGATTACTACTTACTATTTCTAGAACAATGAAACTTACATGATTTAGTTTATACGTGAATCAGTTCAAACATACAATAACAAGAGCAGAAAGGAACATACAATAACAAGAATAGAAAGGAACATACAATAGCAAGAACATAAAGGAACATACAATAACAAGAATAGAAAGGAACATACATCCTTTTACAAGAACAAGATAACATTAATGTGAAACCACTTCTTCACGGCATAACAATATACTTGTTATGTGGCGTTTTGTAACCAGAGTCTCCTAGAGGGAGAGCGGACATTGTGTGTATAGATCTATACGGGACTGACAATCACACATCCCAACTGTTAGCTTCAGTCCAACATGCAAGCCAAGGGGTGACAAATGTCACATCAGTTTTGTCGCCAATAGGTCATCGTGTTAAACACTCGTGAATCAGTATAGTTATAACCACATCACATTTTAACCTTATTTAAGAAAATTGGTTTTAAGGTAAATAGTGCTTCAGTAGCTACTTATTACATCATTACTATACACTGTCATTTTCCCATAACAATCATATACTGATCTTCTCACATAAAAAATAATGTAAAGTATTTTCAGGTAATGATAGTCATATACTTGGGAAAACACTCATTTTTATAGAAAAAACAAACATACAAAACAGTTGGGTCTTGGTAGAAGACTACTTTCCATTTTTAATAGAAAATATATGATTTTCTAGGAAGTATACAAACATTTACATCAAAACACTTACAAACATTTACATCAAACACTTACAAAACATTTTCATCAAACTTATGCAAACATTTGACACTAAAATACTTATGAACTCAATAGCTTAAATGCTGATCTACTCTTTCAAAATAACTTGTATTCTCAGGTCACCGATCGATAGATACACTGGACCATGTTTTGAGAAGATGGAGCACATTTAAAACTCGTCTTTTGTTTTGATATTTCTGTTTTTGGTGTCTTACTAATACATTCAGAACACACTTGTATTAACTATATTATTAATGAAATGGATGATGTTGTAGCTTCATTTACTATTGTACATTGATATGATATTGAACATGACGTCCTCTAGCCCAGATTGTTTTCGCCGTTCTGGTTTCGGGGTGTGACAACTTCTGTTGCATTTGATTCTCCTGCTCCCAAGTGAATTATGGTCCCTGTTTTGCATTCTAGGGAACCTTCACTATCGGGATACGGCTTTGTTTGGTTCTCTTTACTTCCCTATCTATGATCTCTACTAGTTCTTCCACGAAGTTGAGATTCTCGTTAACCTCGATCTCGTCGAGTGGGATCACAAGAGTCTCATCGGATAAGCACCTTTTCAAGTTAGAGACGTGGAAGGTAGGATGTATCTTACTTAGTTCTTGA